CCAACAGGTATTTATCTCAGCTCATCAACTGAGTGGCACCGAAGGAGAGGGCTTTGCGTCTTGTAGGAGTGGTGTATCAGAAACTGTGAGTGGGGAGTGGTGGTTTGCATGACTGGCATATTGAATATTATGACAGATTTAGAGCCACCAGAATCTATGTAAGCCATGAGATTTTTCTGTTTATTAAAAGAGAACTCCAATTTTGTTTTTTAAGTGTATATATATATATATATATATATATATATATATATATTTTATTTCAGAGAGGAAGGGAGAGAGAGAGAGAAAGATGATGAGAAACATTGATGGGCTGTCTCCTGTTGAGATTGAGCTGCCTCCTATTGGGGACTGAGCCCACAACCTGGGCATGTGCCTTGACTGGGAATTGAACTATGGACCCACTGGTTTATAGGTTGATGCTCAACCACTGAGCCATGCAGGCTGGGCTGGTTTATTGTTGTTTTAATGAGAAAGAATGATTTAGTAGGGAGACAAATATGTAAACAAAAATGTGCAAATGGAGCCCTAACCGGTTTGGCTCAGTGGATAGAGTAGGGGTGTCGAACTCAATCAGAGAGGGGGCCAAAATCTAAAATCCAGCCTAAATCGCGGGCCGAATGCTTTACTGAACAGTCATAAACTGTCATTGTGATGGAAACGCAGCGGAGTGCAGTGATGACAGCGCGGTGCGGGTCACATTGCAAGGCCTGGCGGGACGGATTTGGCCCGCGGGCCTTGTGTTTGACACATGTGGGATAGAGCATTGGCCTGTGGACTGAAAGGTCCCAGGTTCGATTCCAGTTAAGGGCATATACATTGGTTGCGGGCATATCCCCAGTGGGTGTGCAGGAGGCAGCTGATCAATGTTTCTCTCTCGTTGATGTTTCTAACTCTCTCTCCCTCTCCCTTCCTCTGTTAAAAAAAAAAAAAAATCAATAAAATGTATTTTTAAAAATCTGCAAATTGTTACAAAAGTATACACAAGATTAATGAATGGAATAAAGCAATGAGAGGATTAATTCCCCAGGTGGGGATCAGAAAAGCTTCACAGAGGAAATGATTGGTTGATCTAGGCCTCATGGACAAAGAAGCTCATCAAATGAACCACTAGACAGAGGAAGAACCTTACCAAAGCATGGGAGTTGTATAACATTATGAATATTACTCTGTGCTTACTCTACTCTCAGATACTGTTCTAAGAGCTTTTATGTGCGTTAGCCCATCTAATGTAGTCGACAATATTTAAAAGTGTATGCAGTGTTATCAGTTAGGTACCACTGCTTGCAAGAGACCTATAATAACAGTGGCTTAAACAAAGTAATTTTTTTCTTCCTTTCTCCACAAAACCTCAAGAGTTTCAGACTCCTTTTAGCCAACTATTCTAGAAGCCAGTTACGGCCTTCATCCTCATGGTGCAGGATGCTGGCTACCGCTCCAGCCATCACAGCCACATTCCAGACAATGGGAGAGGAGACATAGGGAACTCAATAACTCATCTTATGTGGGTTCTTACAAGTTTCCACATTCATCTCATTACCCCAACACAATCTTATAACAATAAACAATTGTAAAATACCCTGGGAAATACAGTCTTCATTCTGGGCATCACTTCTCCACCTAAAATTTGGGTGTTCTATAACTATGAAAAAGGAGAATGGGAGATAATTTGCAGTTTCTTTCACATGCCCTTCTCTCCATTTTTCAGAAAATGAAACTGATGCAGAGTGGTTGCATTCTTTTCATGGGGCATTCAGGGATTTCAAGTAATTTCTTTAGGCTGATGAGTTAGGCATAGAGTGAAAGGATCAAAGGGTAATGGGCTATAAAATGGTATGATTTTAATTCTGACTACATGATCAAAAAAGCTAATGGGAACTAAAATTAATAAAACCCAGGTAGCACTAAAGTGTAGAAGACATGTTTAAGTAATCTCAAAGCTAGATAAGTGGGAGTTGGTTTCGGATCTGAGAGATGGATTTGCTAATGGGTCAGTAATTTAATAGTAAATTGGTTCAACATGACATTGCTGATTGCAGTGGCAGAAGATTACATAAAATTAGCCAAAAGGACAACAGAAATCATTGGACACATTTTTCAGTGTCTCCTTTTAATTTTTATCAATGTCTACCTTTCCTCTAAACAATATTCCAATAAAGGTAGAATAGTTTGCATACTGATTAAAGTAAAATAATGTAAGTTAATTATTACTTCACAAATATCTTACTTATTGATTCAACATTAAAATGAAAATCTTTTTTTCCATATTTACATTTTAAAAAATATATTTTTATTGATTTCAAAGAGGAAGGAGGAAGAAATATCAATGATGAGAGAGAATCACTGATTGGCTGCCTCCTGCATGCTCCCCTTTGGAGCAAGCTCACAACCTGGGACCCGGACATGTGTCCTGATTGTGACCTCCTGGTTTATAGGTCAAAGCTCAACCACTGAGCCATGCCAGCCAGGCAAAATGAAATGAAATATATTTTGAAGATACACACACACACACACACACACATATATCTGAAATCAAGTAGTACCTGTAGAACAACTATTCATCAACCCAACCTACTTTTTGTACCCTTCTCTGAACCCGTGTGCTCCAGGGGAGCATATGTCATTTTCAGCCCCATGGGCAGTGAATCATGATTGGGCCAGTTGGTAGAGATCACATTTTTCTTGCTCATGACTATTTTAGGCAGAGTCAGAGGCAAAGGAACAGTCCCTTTTCCATTGGACTTTGGTGATAGCGAATATGATCACTGGCTGATTGCAGTCATCTTGTGAACTTGAAGCTGACAAGACTGGCAGAGCAGAAAACTGGCAAGAATTTGCATTCTTGTTAACAATCGAACCCTAGAAATGCTTCCTAACTTCTGTGAGGTAATATGGTCCTCATTTGGTTAATTTGAATTGAGCTATTATTTGCAGCCAAAGTATCCTGATATTCTACCACAGGTTTGTATTCTACCAAAAGGTCAAAGAACAATAAAAACAGCAGTCCCTCGTCCTCCTCCCCTTCTGCCTTTCTATCTTCTGGTAGGGAGTGGGGTGGGAGGACCACTTTGAACTCTTAGCTATTTTGCCAGGTGATTTACTTAGATGCTTTTATTTTTTTTTTACTTAGATGCTTTTAAATAACATGCTTATATTGCTATGTTCTTGATTTATCCATAGAAAGAATGCTGACTTTCTACTATGGAAAACGAAAATTAAGCATTTGCACAGTCGTTCTTTTCCCTGCTTGCAAAATAGTTTTACGTTTGATAAAATATATACTATGCTACATTTCTTATACAATTCTCTACCCCTTGGAGTCAAAATTATCCTCCACCCCCTTTCCTTTGCATGTTTCTATCATGTGAGAGGGATATCTGACTGCCCCCAAGCGGTTCCAGATTAGAGAGGGTGCAGGCTGAGCTGAGGGGCATCCCCATCCCCCTATGCACAAATTTCATGCACCAGGCCTCTAGTAAAAGTATAATATGCTAATTACATTGGACATCCTTCTGAAAGAAGCCAGTGCTGGCAGTCAGGGGAAGTAATTATTAACATTTAAAGAGAAATATAAAAGGTTCTAAAATAACATTTGTTTTTTAATATATTTTTATTGATTTCAGAGAGGAAGGGAGGAGAGAAACACCAATAATGAGAGAGATTCATTGATCAGCTGCCTCCTGAACACTGGGGATGGAGCCTATAACCAGGCATGTGCCCTGATCAGGAATTAAACCACGACCTCCATAGGTCAACGCTCAACCACTGAGCCAGGCAACATTTGTATTTTTTATGACAATATTACTAATGCAAAAGATAAAATTTTAAAAAAAAATATTTTATTTTTTTACAGAGAGGAAGGGAGGAGAGAGAGCCAGAAACATTGATGAGAATCATCGACCAGCTGCCTCTTGTACACCTCCTACTGGGGATGTACCTGCAACCCAGGTACATGCTCTTGACCGGAATCGAACCTGGGACCCTTCAGTCTGCAGGCCGACCCTCTCCAGGGGTCTTCAAACTACGGCCCACGGGCCACATGCGGCCCGCAGAGGAGTCTGATCTGGCCCGCCAGGTTTTTTGGGCAGTGAGCGCAGCCGAGGTGTTACAGTAGGAATTAGTAGTTCATATAGTCCGGCCCTCCAGCTCTCTGAGGCACCATGATCTGGCCCCCACTTTAAAGTTTGAGGACCCCTGCATCCACTAAGCCAAACGGGCTAGGGCAAGGTAAAATATTTTAAAAATACTGTTGCAAATAATTTAACCTAAAATATTTTATTATTTTATTTTATTTTTATATATATATTTTGATTTTTTACAGAGAAAGAGAGAGGGATAGAAAGCCAGAAACATCGATCAGCTGCCTCCTGCACACCCCCCACTGGGGATGTGCCCGCAACCAAGGTACATGCCCTTGACTGGAATCAAACCCGAGACCCTTCAGTCCGCATGCCGATGCTCTATTCACTGAGCCAAACCGGTTTCGGCTAAAGTATTTTATTTTTAATTAAGCATAAGAAATAGCAAACCGTTATAGAAATTAACTTTATAATTAAGATTCTTTCGTCATCAGCAAACAAAAATTCCTGTTTAAAATTATGAATAAAACACTATGGAAAAAATTTTATCACAAAATATTATGGTATTTTGAAATAAAAAGCCATTCTCCTATCATACTTTTTTATAGATTCACTTTGAATCTCAAAATGAATTTTACAAAATAATTTCTTTTTCATCAGTATGATGTCACTGTTTAACCTACAATATTTAAGTACAGATGCACATATTTACTAAGCATTTTCATTAAATAGATATCAAATCATTTTATTTCTATTTAGACTCATTAGGATATTTATATTTAAATACTCCAAGGTAACCTTTGTGTATTAGTCAAATTGGAGCTACTCAAATGAAGGTCTCATTTGTTTTGTAAATAATAAAGATTATTTAAAATGTAAAAAAATTGAGCTTAAAAAAACATAGCCTAAACTACCTGTTTTTTAAAGTCACACCAAATCTACTTCTAAAAAATCCTTATCAAAGCTATTTTTTAAAACCCAACATTTACTAACTCAACAGATGGGTTTTAGAAATGAAGAAAGTAATTTTACTTTCAATTCACTGATTATATAGTCAACTGGTGCCTTAAAAAAATAATTTTAGAATATGTGAAGATTGAATTAAACCATTCTCAACATTTTTCCAAGACTGTTTTGCTAACTGGCTTGTTTTTACATATTTAAACATGTTCCCACAGGTAGTACACAAAAATAATTATTTGCAACTATAAAGTCTAACAGGTAAACTCTCAATGTAGTATCACTGCTTTTTCCTTCTCTTGTAAGAGTCGTTACTGTGAGTTCGAACTCGCTGGTACACAGAGGATGCTATTTTCATGTTGTCTTTCTTTGTAAATTTCTTCTCTATTGCTCCTGGTTTCCAAAGTAACAACTGTGCATCTTCTCCTCCAGTCAGCAAAGAATCATCCTGCATATCCCAAAAGAACGAACGGACTGTAGCAGCATGCCCTCCCTGAAGGCTGGTCACGTGGCTCAATCCTGATGTAGTACAGCCCATTAAGTGAATAATTCCTGTGTTTGTTCCTCCAACAATAAATAATTTGTCCATCTTTTCATGATATAGGCCACCAATCAAATAGTCCAAAACACCTCCTTTCATATCAATTACTTCTCTGACATCCTGGACGTTCAAACGTGTAATTGATTCATCAGTATCCAGATGATTAAGATCCCACCAACAAAACCCTTCATCGTGTGTCATGCAGTATATCTGTTTATAATCTTTCCCAGACCAACCAATACAGCTAACTGAAGAAACTGAGTTACAAGTCGTAACCAGCGCATCTTCTTCGTTATCGGCACTAACATCAAATACATTTACCAGGCCATCTGTAGAACCTGAGACTACCATGTTGGGATTGCTGGGATGGAAACATACTTGAGTGATATCATCACTATGTGTTTCTGAGTATGCACCAAGTGGGTCTTTAGTAGTAGACAAATCTTGAGAATTCATTCTTGCATCCCAAAATACCATCAATGCATCATCATCAACTTTTTCTGTACCAGCACAAATGACATGATCATTACAGCTGATATCAAAACTGATAAAAATATTGGAAGCATAACCCTTGAAAAGCTGGACAGGCTTTTCACTGGCTAATCGAGCATCCCAACCTTTTACTGTGCTATCAGTACACGATGAATATACAATGTCATAAGAATTTGCAAATTTAACGCCATTAAGATGTCCAGGATTTCCACCAAATTCTCGTACTATGTTTAACCTTTCTTTATCATATATTCTGATTAACCCATTAGAACATAAAACAGCAACCAAGGTTCCTTTTTCTGCTGGTACAGTCTTGGATGTGTCTATGTCAAGCAGATAAGTAGGCTCTTCAGTTCCTGAAGAACGTTTAACAATGTTCAGATTAGCAAACTGTTCTTCAATCTTCTCCATATCGGGAGTGGCATCTAACGGTAGTAAATATCTGTAATAAAAATATAAAAATTAAAATTAAATCCACAGCTTCTCTAAAATTGTTGATTAAATCAAGAACATTTCCTTCTGAAGGCTGACATAAACAAATACAATCTATTGTAATATTGTAATAATTTTCCTACCATGATGTAACTAAAAATAAGTTACCTCCTTCTAATTCTCTCTTGAACACCAAATCTGCTACATATACTTTATGCCAGTAAGAGAGTTTACAAATATGTACAATTACTGCTGAATATTTGGTTTTTAGCTCAAACCCAACTATTGGTCCTATTCATAATCCTCAGCATTAGTTAGGACCTCCACTTTGGATTCATCTACACCTGGTCCCAGCTGCCTTACACAACTTTAGAACCTAAACATACGTGTGTAGGCAGAAAAATGGTCCCCCCAAAGAGATCCATAACTTAATCCCTGGAACCTGTAACTATGTTAGGTCACATGGCAAAAGGGAATTGAACCTAGCAAGGGTGGCTCAGTCAGCCCATGAACCAAGAGGTTATGGATTCAATTCCTGGGCACATGGCCCAGGTTGTGGGTTCAACCCCATTAGGGGTCGTGCAGGAAGCCGACAACTGATGCTTTTCTCACTGATGTTTTTCTCTCTCTATCCTTTTCCCTTCCTCTCTCTCTAAAATTAAAACAGCTCTAGCTGAAACCAGTTTGGCTCAGTGGATAGAGTGTCGGTCTGTGGACTGAAAGGTCCCAGGTTTGATTCCGGTCAAGGACATATATCTTGGTTGAGGGCACATCCCCTGTGGGGGGTGTGCAGGAGGTAGCTGATAGATGTTTCTATCTCATCCATGTTTCTAACTCTCTATCCCTCTCCCTTCCTCTCTGTAAAAAAAAAAAAAAAAAAAAAAAAAAAAATCAATAAAGTATATATTTTTTAAAAATAAACAGCTCTAGCTGTTTTGGCTTAGTGGATAGAGCATCGGCTCTCAGACTAAAGGGTCCTGGGTTCAATTCCAGTCAAGGAGATATACCTCGGTTGCAGCCTTGAGTGGGGTGCATGTGGGAGGCAATCAATCAATGTGCCTCTCTCATATTGATATTTCTCTCTGTCCTTCCTGTTCCCTTCCACTCTCACTATGAAACAATAGAAAAGTATCCTTGGATGAGGATTAACAACAACAAAATTAATTAAAAAAAATTTTAAAGGAGGAATTGAGGTTGCAGATGGAATTAAGGTTACTAATTGGTCAACTTTAAAAGGGAGAGATTAGTCCTGGCCAGGGTGGCCCAGTTGGTAGGGCTTGTCCTGTGCACCAAAAGGTTGCAGTTAGATTCTGATCAGGGCACATGCCTGGGTTGCCTGCTTGATCCCCAGGAGAGGGTGTGCAGGAGGCAGCTGATCAATGTTTCTCCCTGTCTCTCTCCCTCCCCTCTCTTTAAAACTCAATTAAAAAAAAATTCTCCCTTTAAAAAAATAAATAAAAGGGGGAGATTATTAAAGATTATCTTGGTGAGCCCAATGTAATCAATCATCGTTAAGTCCATGGAGCAAAAAGTAGAAACAGAGGGAGATGTTACTATGGGAGAAAGGCACAGAGAGACATATTGCAAAGGAGGTCAATAAATGGGTAAATGTTAATATGAGATTATTTTTTTTAAACCCACAATTCTTTGCTACTGCTTCCATTTGACCTCTGCATATGGAAAATCAGACTGATGGGGATTTTAAACAATAAGACAGTTTACTGTTGCCTTTAAGCTAATAGTAATTTACAGGACTATGCCTATGAACTGTTATACCCAAGCAGGACAGTAGTACTAGACTCCTTCCCTTCACTTTGTGTCTGGAAAGTGTTTCACATTGAAACAGTCCTGCAAGGCTTCAATTCAAAGGATTCGGTGATTGATGAGGCAGGAGCTCAGACAGAATGGCACAGCAAACTAGCATTTCAGAACTGTAGCAACGTTAACAATCACAATGGTTGTCCATGTGATACACTGTTTAAATGAAAAAAGAGAGAAAAAAATAAACAAGATATCAGAGGTAAGGAGGGTATGTCCCCCAATACTCAAGCTATATAAAGCTTATATTCTTCCACAGATACATTTTAATCTCTTACAGGGAAGCATGAAAACTTCTAGCTTATGTTTAAACACATCAATATGCAAGTGAGTAATATTTAAACTAAAATTTCCAAGGCTATATAGTTAATGCTTAATTTTACATAGTGAATCATTCAAAAATGATGAATACACTTTTACTTCTATGTATAGCCCTCATTTGAGTTTTATTTGCATGATCCACTTCCCAGTGTGCAAGAGAAGCCATAGGCTGTCTTTTCTTCTCACTACACTCTCAGGGGGTAACCTCATTCATATTCATGTTTTCAAGTGCCACCTATATACCAATGACCTCATCTCTCTATTTACAAATCCTATTTACAAATCTCTGCTAGCCATTCATTTCTCCTTGGATGTGCCCCCCTATACGCAAAATAAAGTCATTATTTATGCTTCCCTCTACCCCCCCCCCCCCCCCCCCCACTAAGCCTTCCCTTAACAACACAAATAAAAAAGTAAATTTCTCAATTTTTTCCATTTTGGTAAATTTCCAAATCCCACTTAGGGCTAAAAGTTGCTTAGAGAAGTATTAGTTAGCATTTTAGATCTCAATAGATTAGTGAGAGACAAGGACATGGAGAGTGCCTTTCTTCTATCAACACACACACACACACACACACACACACACAAATTAAAAAGGATGCAAAAAGATATGAACAGAAAAGAGTACTAGATTGGAAGGAGGGGTTGAGGACAAATAGGTGATACCTGAATCAATAAAGAAATTTTTAAAAAAGAAAAGAGTACTAAAGCAGAGTAGAGAGGAGAAAAGAAGAGAAATGAAGATAATCTAAATGAGAGAAGAGAAAGGAGTAAATAAAAAAGAAAGGGGAACTACTGCCACTATCTCCTTAACCAACTGCAGTTCTTACTGTCCCAACACAGAGATGAGACAATGAGAAGAGGTCCAGATAAAGGAAGTTTAGGAAAGTATAAAGCTATGATAGTTTGCTCGGCTAAAAGGAATTTTTCTTCACTAAAATAAATTCCTTGTCCTTAAGAGAATGTAGCAAGCAATCATAACCAATTTAAATATGAACCCAATTGTTCTAAGAATGGAGGCAGAAAAATTATCTCATCTTGACCCACCTAGTGCAGATCAGGACATAGCAGAACCACAAGCAGTGCCCTGGCACTGAGCCACTACTGCTGCTGTGGTTCTTACTGGGTACATAATTGCCATGTCTGAATATAATACAGGTGTGAGATGTTAGAAAGATACCCCAAAACAAACACCTTAGGATTACCTTCAAGAGGGTGAGAATGCAGTATTAAATTCCCGGTGAACTGCCTTCTTGCAATACACTAGACTTTTATCTGAATAACTGGCCTTATATAATTAAAAGTTGATTACCTAATAACAAGTTCCTAAATATAATTATGAGTTCCTCTTGTGGCTTTGGCCTTAAAAAAGATTTGCTATTTTTTTTAAAATCAAAATGTTATTTTACTTCCTATTAAAATAAACCCAGTAAAATATTCTTTCTGCATATAAAGTACATCCTAAACACATCTAGCTGCAAGTAGGTATTGCTCTTATTGCTGAACTGGCTAAGTTTGAATATGAAATCTGAAGGACAGCCTAGCTTAAACAATTCCATAATGAATAAGGAAGTAGCTTTCCCCCTACATAAACAAGGGACACAAAAAGTATTAAAAGAAAATAACATACACTTTACACCTATTTAGAAACTACTGATTACAAAAGGCACAATACTAAAAGACTTCTACATATCTATATAATAAAAGCATAATATGCAAATCAAATGAACAGCAAAACGACCATCCAGACAACCACACTATGACACACACTGGCACCAGGCCAGCCCAGGCAGATGGATGTGACTGGCTGGAGGGCCCTGCCATTGCCCCATGAGGGCCCCACAGAGGGAGGCCCAGGTCACCCTCCGCAGGGAGCTCCACAAAACTGGGAACCGGATTGTGTGGCAGCGGACATGGGCAGCACCAGGCCAGTGCTGATGTGGGTAGGGGCTGGGGCTGCGAAGCTGGCAGCCGGGGGAAGGAAGGCCTACCCTTGCATGAATTTCGTGCATTGGGCCTCTAGTTATTTTATAAAATCAGAAATGAGCAGTATTCTTAGAAATAGGTATATTTCTATTTCTCAGGCATGAATGTTCAACTATTGAGACAATTTATTAGACTTGGGCCAAAAAACTAATTCCCCACAGCTAAAACTTAATATTGCCCATTGACAATAAAACTAGCTATGACTGTGAAAGGCAGAGGTCCAGCAAATGTCCCAAACGTAGGGAGATAGTTAATGGGAAAAGACATTCAGGGATGGGCTCTAATAACTTCACAATCTGCTCTTATAATTCAACTATAATAATGCTACCACATCTATCAAATTGGGCTAGGATAATTAAGCTTCACAGAGAAGAAAATAACCATAATTGGAGTTCAATAAATGCTAGGCTATATGCTAGAAACTTATACTTAATTTTTTTTATCCTAATCATTTAACCCTGTGAGATAGGTATTATTATCCCCATTTTAGAGAAAATATTGCAGTTCAGAGAAACTAGGTAACTTGCCAGTGATTTCATAACTACTAATGGGAGGACCCAAGCTGTAACTTCAAAACCCGTGAAGCTGTGTCCATTCCAATACCATGCTATTGCTCTTCTATCTAAGTACTATATAAAGTATTAGTATCAACTTTAATTAAGGTATATGCATACTAGGCTTTGAGAGGAGGGATTATATGTTAATTTTACATATAAGCAGAGAAGAGAGCAGGATGATTGGAAAAACAAACACCAACCTAGAAAAATGTTTCCATAAGCAACCATCACTCTATTTTCTTGTGCCCCACTTTTCTTTCTTTTAAACTTTTTATTACAGAGTTTGTATGGAGCAGAGAATAGTAAAAGAAACCTCCGTGCTTCCATC